TGATTAACATCACAACGCACATATATCACATCAATAGCCCATTTTGGCATCTCAAAGCCACTTTACACAATTGTGGTCTTATATGACAAATACATATATAAAAGCACATAATCATAAATACAACTAGATTTGTTCCACTTTCAATCCTCTAACTCTTACATTAGGGGCTTTGCCTCACCATATGGTTAAGAGTTACAAATGTACTCAACTCTTTGAAATAAGGCTCTGCCTTACCATTTGTGCCAAGTTCTTACTATTTGTGTCAAATTCTTAAATAACCCCATAATTCACATTCAATTAACATTTAAATCACAATCAACACATAATCATCATCATTATACACACACACACACACACACACCAGTAGAATAAGTTACAACACAACATATAATTGCTTGTTTCATATTTAGACCTACCCACTTACCCTCCACAAGGGCACCCTTGGTATAATGCAATATCATACACATATATACAAGCAAGTTGCACAACATAATCCACTTTCTAATATCCCTATGCAATTATGCATCCTAGTTGGCAACTTAACTCTATAAATAACTTTATACATTCATCCTTACTCAAAGGTAGTCATACCACTATCGATCAAGGCTACTCTCTCCTCACTTTCTTTCCCGACCTTCTTGTTCTCTTTTCACCTGTGTCCAAAAGTAACAAAGTGAGACATACATCCTGGTAACTTAGAGGTAACCCCAATTATTGATTAGTAAGCAAAATCATAAACAAGTGATAAAGTAGCATGTGTAATGACAAAAGCAATAACATATACATATACAGGAATTCATTCTCATCAATCTCGTTATGATCATGCAATGCATTCTCAGTTCCTCCTGGTAGAGTAAACTCTATACCCGGACAAGGACTTCCAGTCATAAGGAACAGGGCCTACTATACCATTACTTAGACTGGGTCATTCTTTTCATATGGGTGGTCTCCTAGGTCTATCATAGCGGAGTCAAGCTTTATGCCCTAGATCATCAGGACTTGTTAGCCTTATACAGAGTAGGACCACGACTCCCTACCCTAGTCTAGGGTAACCTCGTGGATCATTCAATATCCTAAGTCCATCGTGGTATAGTCAAGCTTTATGCTTTGGATCATCAGGATTCTTCTCCTAGGTCTGTCCTGGCAGAGTCAAGCTCTACGCTCTAGATCATCAATACTTTGTGGACCTTCTCATGGTAAGGCCGTGTTTCTCCCTACTATAATCTAGGGTATAACTCACGGATATGATACATGTTAGTGCATGTGTCACTTCAAATTTATTTTAATCAATACTTACACACCTGGATGCATATACTTTTACAATGTTGCTACTCTATCAGTTCACAATACAATGCACATAATTATATCAAAATACTTACAAATAATTTCACAAATAAACAAGTTAAAGGGTTACTCTAGTTATCTTTAACCCTTACTACTAAGGGTTACCAACCACACTAAGCTCTCAAGAGTGCAGACTTTCACGAGCAACTTCGCAGGTACTCAATCTACATAACATAGTGCCCCTCAATCAATTTCCAACACATGTCATAGGCATTGATTTGGCTTAACCGAATTCGTTAACACATAAAATAGTTCAATTGAACCCTTTTCAATTCTTTTATCCATTATTTATAATCATTTTCCCTCTAGGCTTCTCAAACAACCATAACAACTTTTAACACATTACTTCTACTAATTTCTCACTATTAACCTAGCTTTTAGGCCATTTTGGGCCTAAATGCTCAAAGCTGAACTATTCAACTCCACACTAGTCATAAAATCTTAGTTATGCAATATATATATCCCATTTTAAACCTTTCTTTTAGGTTACAACACCTCAAAATCTCATGACTCAATTTCTCAACTGATGAAATTCAATAAAAAAGGGGGTAGAATTGAAGCTTAGGATTGCACGATACTTACCCGAGCCCTAATTATGGCTTGCCCTAAAAGAGATGGCTTTCTCTTGCCCTCTAGACAAGTCTCTAGCTTTTTCTTTTTTGATTTCTCGAGTTGTTCACATTAGCTTTAAGTGATTCCTGGACGATGCATCATGGCACACATAGATTCTGCCATGACGCATGGCACAATAAGAAAATTCTCACTTGTGCTTGCACATTTTGTCTCAAATTATCTTCCTACCCTTCAATCTGATCAATACAACACCCAAACAACACAAAACTTCAACTTGATGTCCAAGCCATAATAAATCTACTAATTACCAATCCACCCCTAATTAGTAACTAGTTCTTGGGATTAAAATTCAGGATGTTACATGAGCAATCCCTAGAGCATCCCACATCCCTTTTGTAGTTTCTAGATTACTTACTCAAAAATACTCTTGTTGACACAATGCACTTGCAATAATCAATTCAGCCTTGCAGTTGAGCAGCACCAGTTTTTATTCCTTTTTCATAAATTCACTCCTTTCTTTTCTTATGAGTTGTCCTTGTACAATTTTGTATGGAATGTAAGGACTAATCTCAATAATATCCCATAAATCAAGATTTGAGGCTTCAAAGAATAATCTTATCTTTTTTAAAAATTATAGTTATCATCATTAAATCTTGAAAGCCTATTAATTTCAGCACCTTTATGGAGAACACTATCACCAAAACTAGCCATAGGATTCTTTTAGACTGTTAAGTCTTTTATCAAGAGTCCAAGCTTTGATACCAAATGTTAGGATAGGCTGATACCTAAGAGGAGGGTAAACTGGGTGACACTTAAAATTTTTGAAAACTTAAAAAGAGTGAAGAACTGAAGTGTGAAGGAAGAAAATGAAACACACGAGATTTATACTGGTTCAACCATAAACTTAGCCTACGTCATATCAGAGTGCTAAAACTTATGAGTACATCATTAGTTCTTACGCGTGGTTTTACACATAAGAAACTATCATCAATTCTATGTAACAAATCACATGTAGAACCTCTTTTCTCTCATGTGTGAAATGGCTAGCAAAATGCCAAAGCCATTCTATATGACCAAAACTCGCATGGAATAGGATGCTATCATGTATGAAATTGCAAGTATTAATGCAAAAACTCATTTGGTGCATTTTCACATATGGAACTTCACATAATGTAAGAAAGATTTTGTATGGTCAAGAGATATAGATTTGTGAATTAATGATCATACATGTGAATAATTTTAACTTGGCTCAAGAAGACTTAAGACTTAATAAAGCAAAATGTAATTGTGCAACAAGCGGCAAATCACGCATGGCTACCATTAGTCTCACACATGGTTTTGCACTTTGACATAATGCAATGAAGCATAGTTGTTAAAACTTGTGTGGACAACAAAGCCTTTCACTCATGGTTTTGCAAGCAGAACCAAAGCTTAAGGCATCACATAACACAAGGGCTTACTCACGCGTGAATCACTTCTTCACACTTGCATGATCTAAAAGTTAGTATGCCTAACATGCAGAAACTCATGAGTAACCTATAGAATTACGCGTGATTCTACTTGTCACAATGCAAATAGCTTCTATCAAAATCAACATGCAAGAAAGACATTATTTGCAAGCTTTAACACACTTAGATGAGTATTAATGCATATGAATGAGACATATGATGCATTTATTTAATGATTATAAAAAGTGATTAAACTCTATGTTTTTACATTGAATCTAAGAGAATTTAAATAACTTATCCTTAACTTCTTCATCTTCTTTTGATTTTTCATGCTCTTGATGTTTTGTCTTCATCCATGATTCTTTATATCTGGACATATAACAAATATCTTTTCTCTTGATTTTGTAATCATTAAAACACATGATCTAATACTTGCTTGATTTCTTGAGTTGGTTGAAATCTCTCAGTTTCTTCACCATTCCAAAGGACTTTAAGTCTAGTAGTAAAAATAGAGCACATGATGAGCTTGGTGAAAGCATGAGAAAAGCCAAGATTTAAGAGGGTATCATTAATGTGTTAGATAAGGAGGCCCAGTGGAAGATTAAATTTTTAAATCCCTATCCTTATGTGGATCAAACGAACTCATTTAAGTTAAAGTGGATACAAGAGTTATGTAATGCCTTTTATCGACATTACCATACGCTCCACTACAATCAATCCTAATCAAATCAAATCATTTACTTTAAAAACTTTGAAAACATTGGGATCCCAATAAAAATTTTCAAAAATTATTTTATAAATCACTCAGGTTGTAAAACCTTAACAAACAGTGGAAGCAATATGAATACATGTATTAAGGACTAGGAAAACATGTGCAAAACAAGAAAATAAAGTGAAATTTAGCACCGTGTGCCATGGCATGTGGCACAAAGACTACAGCCATTTCACTCTGTGCTGTGCACCGTGGCATGTGGATATATGCGCCATGGCATACACACTTGAAATTGCTATTATAAGACTATTTCTGATACGAACTTCAAGTGCGCGCCATTTTTGCATATGATGTCCAATTAGGGTGATTAAGTGCCTACACGAAGCTTGTTTCAAAATCTAATTAATGACATTGGTTTATTTAAATTTGATATTTCTATCAAAAATTGAATACCTAAGTGTATTTTGACCGTTTTATGTCAAAATTGTCACTTAAAGGTCTCAATTTGAAACCAAATATCATTAACCACTTTTTGGGCCTTGACCACGTCTAAATGGAGAATACATACCTAATTGACCATACACATGCATAATATAACACACATACACACATTTGGCCTGTAAACTACTCATGTCACACTTTTAAGTCCAATTGCATTTTCCTTTCTATAATCTCATACATGGCTAAATCGTCACACATATACTTTCAAACATCTCATATTCACACACATACATTCTTTTATTAGCCCATCTAGTTATTTCACTATTCTCACATATACAAGGGCTAGGGATTTCAAAATCATCAGACATACCACAAATACAACTTTATGCACTTATATTGAAACATATGGCAACTTATACACATTTAATACTAATAACATCAACTTCATTACACCAAAATCTTACAAAAGCTTTGTGAGAGGTCTCCACTTAGCCAATGTCTTTCCCTTTTGACGTACTAGTACTAGAACCTAATAAAATGTAAATAATTATGGGTGAGAATAAAATCTCAATAAACAATATAGTTCATTAATGTCTATTACCATAAATAACCATGCCAAAGTATTAAAACTAAGGTAATATCATGTATATATAAAAGTATGAAAACATAGCATCATTTCAAAGGAATTCCACACAAATATATACTAGCATAATCATCTAGCCACCAAATCTCTAATTCTCTCTGACACAAAACCATAAGCTCTTTTGAATCAACCACTTTTTGACTTGAGCACACTTTCAGTGGTAGAAATACTAAGCCAAAGGTAATCTAACCCACTAATAGACTATGGTTTCTCTCTTTACACACTTGTGATAGAGGCATTGTTAACTCCTAACTGTACCCTAACGGGTACTAAGGAGTTGCCAGACTGCTTGAATATCCTATAGTAATAATCCCATAATATGCTGTATCAAATTACCTATGGTAGCAGCCTATATGATGCTACACCAGATGTTTCATAGTGCTGGCCCAATCATATGAATTTTTCACTTACATATCTCTACACACACACACATTCCCACATATCCTAGGTGAACTTCACCCCCTATGATCATGCTCTTTCACAATTTTCACTACTTTCCTTCATGATTCCATATCATATAATATCATAATACCTATATATATATATATCACTTGAAATTAAATAACCTTTTATATTTTATTTCACAAATCAATGTTCATACTAAAACCATTTTCAATATCAAATCATGCACAAAACTCATAAAAATAAGTTTTCTCATTTGTTATTTACTTCTACACAATTATGATAGTTAATAAACATAATAAATTATATGGTTACCTCAACCCTTCTGTTTGATAGAAAGGGTTACCCGTGTAACTTTCTTACTTGAATCTCTTTCCACTTATCTACTCATCACATACTAGAATCTACACATTGGCAACCCAAGTCAATTTTACTATTGACAAAAAATACCAATTATCACAATTAAGCACCTAATCACTATCAAATCCACATTTCATACTTGATTACACATAGTACCACTGATTATCCCTTATTTCAAGATTTAAAATTTCTAGCCAAATTTCTCTCACTACTCTCTCTCTAGATTGGCGTAAATTCTTGCCTACAAGTTCAAAGCTTTATCATTTTGACTCTAACCAATTATAAAGTACTAGTTTAATTCTAAAGAACCTTTCTATTACTATAGGGTAAGAAATCAACTCCTTAAAACTCTTGAATTCAATTTCTTACTAGTTAAACTAAGAAAAAATAGGGTAGAATCAGAGGTTAAAGTAGTACGTGACTTACCTGATAACCAACAGGTTAGAAACATAATCTTTGCTCCTGATTTTGCTTGCCTTAGCAAATCCCCCACTCTTCTTCATGTTTGAGCTCTTCTCTCATGTTCCTCCCTTCTATTTCATGAATGGGACACGTCCCTATTAATCAAAGTTCTGTACCATGCACTGTGGCGCATCCATCCCCCACCACGGCATGTGACACAATGAGCGAAATCCTTGTTATGCTCACATACTTTGCTTTAGCATTTCACTCTTCTACTCATTTCTATTCATATAACATCCCAATAGTCAAAATAACACTTTATTATAAAGAATCCTAATCCTATATTAAATAACTAACTCATCCACTAATCAATCATTAGCGCATGATTAAAAATCTAGGATGTTACAAGTTACCTCTTAATTGTGAGCTCTTGACATGCATTCTCTTCAAGAGTATGGATCTTAAGAACTGACAATATAGATTTGCTCCCTCTATTGGTATCCACATAAACAACTTCCTAACTTGAACAACATGTTAGTACTCAATGTTTTTTGTCTTTAATTGTTTAATGTAACGGGCGTCCTAAATTAGGACTTAATCATCATACTAACCATGGTTAATCAAGGACTAACCCAAATGGATTATACAATACGAGATTAACCTAAATGAATTCTTAATATGTATTTATTTTTTACAAACTATTTAATATAAAGGAATCCCAAGTCTTTAAAATATTTTAAGAATTCATATCATTCAATTAAACATATGCGGAAGCATGATAATAACTATTTTTACTTGCAAAAATATTTTGACCCATTAATATAATACAAGCATCAAAACACAATCTTAAGAACCCAAAATACCTTTCCATCCTACACAAAACCTATAGTGCAAATGGATCAAGAATATATTATCCTAATTGGCAATATCATAAACTAAATACACATATCAACATAAAAGGAGAGAGGCCTACAGAAGTGATTATTATCACTTAGCCTAATGCTCCTTTCCTCTGTTCTTCTCAGATGAGCTAGTTCCTGTAATATGTTAAAAGAGAGGGGTGAGTACAACCACTCAGTAACCAAGATATATCTAGGTTATACAAATACATGATAATTAATCATGAATGCAAGTGACCAATAAATTTATCAAGGTGACCATTCAAACAATCACATTAATAACATGTTAATCACATTAACATTGAACTCATGTGAATAATTTCAAGAATAAAGTCAAGTATAAAATTTGCACGAATAGCCATATATACATTATTCACATAATTACTACATGTTCTCATTTCTACAATTATAATCATATTCTCAACATAGCCATCAATCACTCAAATGGCATGATAATAATAATATGCATGATCAATCTCTTCCTTATATCCCCCCTTATTTCCTCTGACATGAAATCCGTGGGCCAACAACCGGAAGGGATCATCCATGTGGTGAGACTACCCAAAGCCGTAATCATATCATGAGGGGCTACCGGGCCAGAGTTACCTTACTCACTTATGAACACGATTTCCCCCAAATCACACACTATGGGGTGTCATACCCAAAACTAGCTCTACCCAAAACTCCAAGTAGGCCAGTAGGGTCAAGTCCCTTAATAGGAATAATGTTACAGTACCTTACAAGGTAAGTAGCGGCTATAACCCCTAGGATTATTGGTTAATAGCCAAATACCATATGGATTTTGTGTAATTGCTAACTCCTTCACTAAGGCGAACTCCCGCCATATGATCATACTAATAAAAAAATACATTTTAAAAACTCATATATATAATTCATAATTTATAGTCAAGATTGTGCACATCATCATCAACATCAATCTCATTACTTATACCAAGTCACAATTAACTTGGTCACAAACCATAAGGTCTCAACAAAACCACATGCATTACAAACAACTATTTCAAATTTAAATATATATATATATATATATATATTCTTTTGTTTCACCAACATAATTAATTAATTAACATACAAATGCATAAAATAGATTTCCCCCGGTTACCTCAACCTTTGAGAAGTCAAAGATTACCCCTCAAGTTACAACACTTCCAAAGCTTTCCAAAGCTTGAATGGTGTCAAAAGAAAATTAATCTACAATTGATCATATCCCAATGTGTCAATAATATTATTAACACAATTTTTACTCATACTCTAACACCTAAGTATTTATTTTATTTTATTTTATATTTATTTATTTATTTATTTATTTTAAGAAATTAGTCTTAGTCTCTTGAATTCTAAAATTTAATTTCATATATTTGAACGTATCTACTTGGTTTAATAGTCTCCTTCACAATAATTTCATTCAATTATTTTTCTAATATCAAAATTTCTCTTTTTATTCCAAAAATTCGCACATAAAAATACCCAAAAATTGCAAACTTGATTTCAAGCCTAGAATCATTATTCTATAGCCATAATAATTTATTTCTCATCTCAAATAATCATCTAAATATCAACAAATCAATTTATATTTTCAGATTTAACTAAAAATCTACCCATAGAAATCTAGGGATAAACTCAAATGCCTCAAATTCCAATTTTATCAATAAAATAATACTCTAGAATATTTATTACACTACTAACAACCTCAAAACCATATTTATTCAACATAAATTCATCCCTCTTCCAAATCCTAAATTTTCTACCACCACAAAATCAGAAACTAAAGAGAAAATATGACTAAGAAAAATGTTTAGAACACTTACCTAGTTTTAGAATACTTAAAATCTCATATGAAGTATCCTATTATGGAGCTTCACCTTCTAAATTAGTCAACCTCTCCATCAATGTCGCTCGCTCTCTCGCTCGCTCTCTGCCTCAGCTCACGTACAAGGATGAAATGAAGAAATGAAGGAAGGAGGGTGATTTTATAAAAAAAATACTGCGGGTCCCACATGTTTTTTTTTTGTCTCCTCTTTCCTCTCTCTTCTTTTTTTTATTATTATATATATGTGTGTCATGATTACTGTGGGAGAGCACCGAAAGCGATTTCTTCTTCTCCTTCTTCTTCTTTCTTTCTTTAGACATTTTCTCTTTTTTAAAAAAAAAAATAATAATAATTTAATATATTTGTTAATTAATTAATTAATTAATTATTTTTTTAAATTTTAATTTAGAATTATATCCTGATTAGATTTAACAATCATCTCCTTCTAATTTGCTTACCTCTAAATATTTTTTTTAAAATTTCTATTAACCCAAATTAACTATTAAAATTTAAATTGGGATGTTACATTTAAGGTGTTTCATGGCTCTCAAAGTGTTTTGCCATCAGAACTTTTCTAACTCTCTCTTAATGAGCACACCTCCTCTTATACCATATATATAGATTAGGGTTTTAGCCATCCTTTAATAAGACAATGAAAATATTAGATTAAATTTATCTCATAAACAAAATTTATAATATTATATTTAATTTAAATTTATCTTATAAGTTTAAATTATAAAAACGACATGATATTCTCTCATATAATGTTAGTTATGAAATTTAATGTATCACATAAAATTAAATTTAAAACTAACACGATATAATATAATATAATATAATATAATATAATATAATATATCACATATACATATTATATTATATATACATATACAAATATATATACATATATATTTCAAAATATATATGTTATATTTAATTTCATAT